AATCAACACCGACTTGTGGTTTTCATGTCTCAGTACCCTCATCGACCAGTGGTACTTTAGACGGTCTGCTGGACATCAACCCTTCACGTCCTCGCGACACCGATACCGTTGCCCGATTACCTTTTACTCGTCGGCATCTGCAGTCTGCATATTTTGCTGTTAGCCTTCGCCGAAAGCCATCCGACTCTGCCATCCACGGACGCGTCACGCGGTCAGCAGCTAGGCCAACAAACAGCAGCAAGCATATGCAAATAGCTAAAGTGAGAGGTCACCAACGATGTGGCCGGGCAGTATCGTACGTGCCGCCTGCGCCAATAAAGTCGCCCATTTTCGGCCTCGGCGTACTGACTCGAGCGGACACTGCTTGCAAAAAAACGTACTGGCAATAAACAGTCAATACAGGCGCATCGCCGACTGGTTTTGAAGTGCACAAAAGCACCCACACCTAATTGACAGGGACTTTAGCGCGCACTTTCAAACAGCCGAGTATCCGCGCCTCTCCACAAGACTGTCCCTTGGCCGCCGTCTGGGTTCCCCATCGGTTGCCGACAATCATGTCCACGTATAATCTACCTGCAGAAGTGCCGCGCAGTCCCCAAGGTCTTGGGTCAATCAACTTCCCAACCCATAACTCTCTAAGCAAACTCCCGAAAAGACGAAACTTCGCGCTGGACTGATCGCCACCTACTCATCGATTTTCCCTGGCGTTTCTTCGATCCGACCCAGGTGTGCCTGGAGCATTAAAAGCTACCGGATCGACGCATACTACCTGCGGCCAACGGTGCACACGAGCTTTTTTGACTACCGCCTCATGTCATCTCTGACATCGACGACTCCCAATCCATGCAGACAACCTTGTACTAGCTTTCTAACAGTGTCTATAAGCAATAATTAGAATGTAACCGAACGGTTTCGTCGCTGAACCTGGTCAGGTTGAGGCAAATAAGACTAGCCTGTAAAACCATATGGCTCAGCAAACCTATGCCGATGACGATTCAGAACACTCAACCGAGAACTACGGGTACGTCCCATTTGTCCGGACCTGTAGGACAGGAGACACCAGTGATTCTCGGGACATGCCTCAAATATGAAAAGCCATTGTCGTTGTAATGGGCAACAGTTTAATACTGAATGGTGTCCTTCAAAAAACCGCATGCGGTAAAATAGGGAAAGCGGGCGAAAACATGTAACACTGACACCCTATATAGTAGTAAAAAAGGACGAATGGAAAACGACAGGGGGTAAGAGAACACAGTTTATTTTCAAAAAGTTAACTTGCGAAACCAAAGTCGGTAGAAAGATGAATTTGATAAGTAATGTGGCTAAGCAAAAAAGGTATGAGAAC